CTTAAAGATACAGAATCCCTTTACCCCTATAAGTAAAACAACATCATGCTTACAACCTGGGAAGAGAGGGAAAGTCTGGAAACGAAGCGTGTTGTACTAGGGAAAGCAGGAAAAATGTCAGGGGAGCCAAGCACAGCTCAAGAGAAGCTGTCCATCTGAAATGCCACCTGGAATTCACACCCGTAATAACTGTTGTGAATATAAAAATTAATAGGGGGGATTTTATAGTATTAGAAAAATTTATTTTTATAAATCATTTGTCTATCACCCAAGTGTGGACGAATGCATGCATTTCAACCATCAGCTTTACATTAAAAAGCCCACTGATTGACTTACCAAGGACAATTCCCCCATGCTCAACCGGTTGCTATGACACGCACTGACCACCAGGGGACAGATGCTGAACACAGGAGCTGCCCCCTGGCGGTCAGTGCGCTCCCATAGTGGGAGTGCTGCTTAGCCAGAAGCTGGGCTCACAGCTGTTGAGTGCAACTGTGGAGGCAGGAGCCTCTCCTGCCTCCATGGCAGCACTAAGGATTTCTGCCTGCTGGCTTAGGCCCGCTGCTCCCCTATGGCAAGGGGAGTGGGAAAGCCATCAGTCGGACATCCCCCAAGGGCTCCTGGACTGTGAGAGGGCACAGGCCAGGATGAGGGACTCGCGCCCGCGCCCCGCCAGTGCACAAATTTCATGCACCGGACCTCTAGTATTGTAATAATTATATATGGTGGCAGGTGGGTTCTAGAAATATTGGGGAACCACTTTGTAAGATACATGATTATCTAACCACTATGCTGTGCACCTGGAACTAATACAGAGTAATATTGAATGTAAACTAATTGAAAAAAAATTTTTTAAAATATATTCACTTTCATTCCTAAAAAAAAAAATTACATTTTACCCTCGTTATATTTTCAAGCTTTTAAGCAATTATCAATCAGGCCCAAATTTACGAATTGCAGGGCAAGGGCGAAATTAAGAACTAGCAAGGCGAAAAAGTAGTTAGTAATCTGTAGTTTAGATTCTGATGGTGTCTGATCACTATTTATCTCAGGGTTTAAACAGTAACCATAATTGTATTCTTTGAACACCAAGTGCCTGCCCCTCCCCCTACTCCTACCCGATAGTTAATTAGCTGGGCAGGTCTTATAACAAATACACTGGGTGGTAGAAATGCTGTTGATAATTAAACACCACAATAGCAAGGAGCCTATTTCAGGAGCCGCCAAGTGGTCCTGCCCCAGCCAGACTGCTCCCGGCACACTCACAGACCCTCTATTGTGCTGGCTATGGCAGTGCAGAGGGGTAGCTGCTTGGCTGGAGAAGGGATCTACAGCAGTAAGAGAGAAAAGGCCCAAGCTTGCAAACAGATCCAGGAGCTCCAGACTCAAGAGGGAAATATTCAGAGGGTGGAAGCAAAGGGAGAATGGATCCAAGAATAAGAGAAGTAGATGGGCAGGAAACTCAATCATAAAATAGACACAGCCTTTCTAGTTTCTGTGTCAACCAACCAACCAAAATGAATTCACCAATCTCATGACAAACAGGTAGCTGTTAGAAAATGGCAATACATAAATAATAGATTAATTTGCATTCCATTTGGTTTAGAGGAAGTTCACCGAGTTCGTTTTTAAGAAAATCTTGGATAATCATTCCACCTCCCTGGGTCTAAGTTTCTTCACCTTAAAATAAGGGGGTTGCAAAGGTTCTCATCCTGAGGAGGCAGAAACAGGAATACGATTCCCAGCAGGATCAAATGCCTAACCTACCAAATCATTACTTAGTAAAGATAAAACTACACAGTCTAAGATAATTATCACTTTTACTTACTTTTGCTTAAAATGTATTAACCCAGTTTGTTAGGTTGGTTATCTCCTACTGAACAGATGCTTCTATTGGCAGTTATATAGCTCATTAATAATAGGGAGAAAATGATTAATTTATGAGTCAGCTGATTTGGTAGTCAATAAAGAAAATCTTTCAAAAGAGAGTGTTTTATTAAGCCATTAAAAAGTCCATGGGAGTGCGGGGGGGGGGGCGGTTTGCTTGGTGAAACCACTGGCTCAGTCATTGCCTCTTCCACTCATGCATGGGATTACCTCTAACAGAGGCAAATATTCTCAGGGGCACCTGGAGATTTAGCCTGGGGCGGGGGAGCTTCTATAAAGTTTCCCTTAAAAAAAAAATCTTCAATTTGGGGGGAAATTTTTCCTCTTCTCCATAACAAAAGTGTTCATTTTAATTTATAAATAATGTGTTTTCACCAAAATCTACACAGGAAATTTGGTGACCCAGGAAGATGCGCCTACTCATTCTGGGGCATCAGGCTGCAGCTTAGGTACCCCAGTTTGAGAAAGAAGCATGGGGATCTATATGAGCTTGGAAAACTTACTTAGTCATCAAATTATATGCATCTCCCTTGTTAGTCTATGAAAAGGCAAAGTGCTTTATCTTAAAGATACAGAATCCCTTTACCCCTATAAGTAAAACAACATCATGCCTACAACCTGGGAAGAGAGGGAAAGTCTGGAAATGAATTGAGAGACAGGGAAAAATGTCAGGGGAGCCAAGCACAGCTCAAGAGAAGCTGTCCATCTGAAATGCCACCTGGAATTCACACCCGTAATAACTGTTGTGAATATAAAAATTAATAGGGGGGATTTATAGTATTAGAAAAATTTATTTTTATAAATCATGTGTCTATCACCCAAGTGTTGACGCATGCACGCAATTCAAACATCAGGCTTACAATAAAAAGCTCACTGAATGACTTAGCAAGGACAATTCCCCCATTTTCTCTATAATTTGGAGTGAAAGAAGGAGGGGGGATTGGGTAGAGGGTGCAGTTACTGGGTCAATTAATCAACCTGAAAACTGTGACACAAACTCTGACGCCTAACCTATGTCTAAAAATACACAAATGTATACGAATTTGTTTTAAACTGTCAATGCCTATATTTAGGACCTTCCCAGCAAGGCTATAATGAGACTGTGTTTGAGGGCTTCAGTCATAGCAGACTCTACCATTAATCTGAAGTTAGTTAAATTAACAGCATTTAGTACTGACTTGTCAATCTCACTGCTCCAGGAAATTGCACCTTGAGGCCACTAATATTGCCAATTTTTCCACTGGAGTATGTGCCCGCATGTGTATATGTGTATTTTTTTTCTCCAGAACCTCCTGTTCATACCCCATCATTGCTTCCCTAGGTCCACAGCACTTATATTATCATTTATTCTGGCCTCCTTTAGCCTTCCCGGGGGATTCTGTGTAGGGTAGCTGCTCAGTGAAAGAGTTTTTTAGCTTTATATTTATTTGTTTATTTTTCTGTCATGGCTCATGACTGAGGCTTTAAAAAAAAAGCGTGACAGTATTTAGAGTACATGATTGACTGCTACAGCAACATTCATTAACCATGACAAATCTACAGCAAAACACAGTCCCAAGTGTTCTAAATAGTAATGTTAAAAAGAAAGAAGAAAGAAAAAGGAAAAAAAGACTCAACTCATTTTTCATTGACCTCATCGGTAAATAAATTTAGACTGATAGTGAGCAGGGGCAATAATAAATTAGTATTCATTTCCTGTAATTAATGCAAACATGCCTATGAACACAGAGAATATGAATATATAACTGCCTAATTTCCATTTCAAAATACACCTAACAAATTTTCACTTGAGTTATCTTCATCATATTTCCCCCTTTATTAGAAGAATGATATAGTTGGATTTCTTCCCCACCCACCTGGGGGAAATATTGTTTTGGTCACAGAGAGTGTTCAATGGGTGGGTAACAGAACTGCCAAACTTGATTCTGATCTGTTTCATGATCTGATCCCCTACCACATGCCCAGATCAGAAGTGACCAACTAGGCAGACCCCCACATGCAGGAGAGCCACCATAAGAAGCAGCCTCCTAGCCTGACATAGAATGTGAAACATAATGGACATGAACATTCACTCACACGAGAGCAGACTGGGTCAACAACATGATATCAATCAAATAAAGACTATCATGCATTGAGTAAAACAGAAATATCAAGCTGAGGTTCTCTCAGCAAGAAGAGCTAGGACAGCTTTCTCTCTTGGGCATGGGCATCTCCAGAGACCATACCTACAATCAGACCACAATCAAAGATCAATGTCTGATCACACTCAAGTCAGCCATCAGAATTCACTAGAGCAGTGGTTCTCAACCTTCCTAATGCCGTGACCCTTTAATACACTACAGTTCCTCATGTTGTGGTGACCCCCAATTTCATTGTTACAAATTAAACATCATTAAAGCATAGTGATTAATCACAAAAACAATATGTAATTATATATGTGTTTTCCGATGGTCTTAGGCGACCCCTGTGAAAGGGTCGTTTGACCCCCAAAGGGGTCGCGAACCACAGGTTGAGAACCGCTGCACTAGACCTATTGTGGCAGCAGCAGAACACTTTGTTAGCAATAAATAAATTGACTAATACTAACAGAATTATGCCACTAGGATACACATACAAAAATGTCTATGAGCTGGGCAGAAAGTGATAAGAGCAAAAAATCTGAATCAAGTTCTAAAAATATAAAGAACAAACAACTCTGGCAGAATGTAGCTTCCCTCATCAATGACTTTTCCTAGGGCCGTCCTGGCCCTGCAGAGCTTTAGCTCCTAAATGTTTGTCCTCTGAAGAGCATGGAAACGTGTGCAATCTGGATAAGAAGCGGTCCTCGTGGGCACTTGACAGTGGAATTCTAATTAACTGCTAAGCAGCTGTATGGGGTGTGTGTCATAAGAGGGCCAGAGGGCAGTGGGAATACCTTAAATGGATGGATTTACCATTTAATCTAGTTGTAAATGTCACTAATTAGACCTTATCATAACAAAACATTAGTAACGAATATGGATCCCACTTCCGCCGGGCATTTTTTAAAACCTATAGTGGACTCTCAGATCTCTTGCCAGTGAAGCAGCGTTTTCCCAGCAAGAAAAAGGAATCACCTAATTCTTTCTGTTTAGTTGTCAGCCTGGAAAGTCGAGCCATGCACCTCAACACACTGGTTCAGGAAGCCCAGGAGAGGGTGAGTGAACTGTCTATTCAGGTGGAGAATGAAGGATTCAGTCTGGACAACACAGACAAAGAGAAACAGCTGAAAGCTTGGGAGTGGAGGTACCGGCTCTACAGACGCATGAAAACAGGCTTCGAACATGCCAGTGAGTATAAGCAGAGGCCCTCTACGTTTAACTGGACCAAACCTTGGTTTGAGACAGCCAGGCCTTCCTTTACTGATTTTTCTGTAGCACTACAGGGTCATGGATGACCGTTGTCGGCCTGTTTGGAGCAAGGGTTCTGGGAGACTGTAAAAGGATCTTTTGTCTTGATTTTCTGGCTCCTGATAGGTTCTCTGGCCACAGCAATGAGGCTTCAGTGCTGCTGGCCTCCCTCCACCATGTCACACTCATCTAGCACTTTCCACCCGTTACGCCCTAATGCCTAATGACCTGGATGGTCTGATGCCCTAAGTGACTATATTTTGGGATGCAGAGGTGGAAAAATATTTGTTTGCCTATTTGTCCAGTTTCTGCTTCAGGCTCAAGTGTAAGTTGTTTTCGACTCTCTACTGCATTTTTTATATAGAGCTTATGTAAACTGACCTTCAGTGAATACAGGCTGCAGAGGACAGGCAATCAACCCATGAATTATGCTTTTGTCTGCACGTCCATTCTCTATTACCAGTCCTTTTTGTTAGTTTAAACAAGTCTTGTTTCTGGATAATACTAGCACTGGAAGGTACTGCTTACTGCCGCCTCTGATATAAAAGAATATGTATGTAATTCAAACTCAAACTTGTGAAATATTAAACTTTAATTCCAAAAGAAAATCTTATTCAAACAGCAAAAAAATTAGAATTATATTGAAAATTTAAATATAAGGAAAAGATCAGTTCATTAGTGTGGAAATTATCTGCCTCTGCTCCAGTAACCTTAGCTGTGATAAAAACCAAAGCAGTAAAACTCTTGTTTTCTGTAGTAGTACTCAATACTAAGCCCCAAACTAGGCCTACTCCTTTCTCTTGAAGGAAATAACTGACATGAATGAAAGGTTGCTTTTATTATTAACAATCTTTTAAGCAATGCTGATATGTTTGCTCTTTTTAAAAAAAAATCCAGCCATTGTTTTAATAAATGCACTTGCTATTGTGCTTCATTCAGGACAAATTAATATTAGAAGAAATCATATTTTTAGACTTGATACCAATTTTTAATTTTCTAAATCACAAAACACCTAGAAGAAATATCTAACACCATAAGAAATCTATTAGTAGACATGACATTTGCATGTGAATTCTTTCCTAGTAAAATACTACTGTGTAATAGCAGGCACAATGAGAGCAAGGTGAGTTAACATCCCATGTTGGGAAGAGTCCAGAATTGGTCATCCAAAGCCATATGTCCTTGAACAAGTCATTTTGCCTCTTTGGGCTGCAGCTTCCTCACCCAAAAAGAATGGAATGCTGTTACTTGCCCTTTCTACCAACAGGGTTGCAAAAAGTCTCCCCTGCGATGATTTACACAAAAGTACTTAATGAAATACAATAGTTCCTGCTAACACTTTCTAGCCTCCTCTTCGCTGGTCCAGCTAACCTCCTATTATGTTTCCAGGATACTTTGGGAAGGCTTAACTGGTATTATTTACCCCTTCAAATGATGTTTTAATGATCAAATAAGACAAGATGGCAACAAATAAAGGCCATTGAGACTTCTAATGAAAATGTTCAAAAGCAAAAGCTATTAGGCTCTACAAAACAAATGTTTCCATAGTGTGTGTTTCTGGGTATCCTTTGAAGAGGCGAGAACATTGAAAAGGATTTGTTATGTTAAGATCCTTGTGTTTTTCCTTCTGTCCCAGGAGCCCCCGAGGTGCCAACCAATGTCTGCCTCATGGTAACCAGCAGCACATCACTCACCGTCAGCTTCCAAGAGCCTCTTAGTGTCAATGCAGCTGTAGTGACCAGATATAAAGGTATTGAACTCAGATAGTTTTTCATTACTCCTTCTTAAAAAAACAATCCATTGTTTGAGGATCAGTTGTGCATTTTGTGTTGATTTTCCTACTGATGGGCTGTGTTATTCATTCTATGTAGAGTTGAAATATTCCCACATACAGAACAATAAGGTAACTGAGAATACGTCACAGAAAGACCAAGCTGTCATTCCAGGATTCTCAATTAATATTCCAATTCTGTTTGCAGAGGACCTGCTCTGTGCATAGCATAGGGTTGGGGACAGGACTGAGGAGGACATACTAAAGCAGTGGTTCTCAAACTTCTGGCCTTTTAAATACAGTTCCTCATATTGTGACCCAACCATAAAATTATTTTTGTTGCTACTTCATAACTGTAATGTTGCTACTGCTACTGTTATGAATCGTAATGTAAATATGTGATATGCAGGATAGTCTTAGGTGACCCCTGTGAAAGGGTTGTTCGACCGCCAAAGGGGTCGCGATCCACAGGTTGAGAACCGCTGTACTAAAGAATGAGCCTGGCTCCAAGGCACTTAGAGGCTGGGATGTGGAACATACTAAATAGGGGACATATAAATTGATAGCTGTAAAGACAGGTAACTAGGGTTGAGGACTAAAAAAAAACAATCCTATGTAATAAAAGCATAGTATGCAAATTGTCCCCTCAACTGGGAGTTGTCCAAGAGTTTGACCAGGGGGCGGGGCTGGCAAGGGGGAAGGGAGCGAGTACCTGGTGGGCAGCTGGCAGCTCCTAAGGACCCTACCAGTACACGAATTTCGTGCACTGGGCCTCTAGTAGTATATAATTTTTTAAATTCTGTCCAAATGTATGGCCTTATTAATGTCGAATGAGAATATTTTTAAAAACCAGATAACTGCAAAAGTTCATTAAGTCTGAAGGAAGCACAAGAGAAGCTCTGAAGTCCGTCTGAGCTGACTGCTACAGCAGCACCAGGAAAGGAGAACCCAGAGGAGAAAGATACTACAGAGATGCTACCATGAAAACAGTCCAGGCTTACATAGTGCCTACTATATGTGAGGTACTGTTTAAAGCCTATATATGTATTAACTCTATTTAATCTTCACAACAACCCTATGAGGTAGGTACTGTTAAGATTCTCACTTTGCAGATGAGAAAATGGAGGCAATGAGGTTAAGGAACCTGCCTAAGGCTCACAGCAGTGCCAGATGTATCTCTTACATTGACGCTTAAATGTGGTAGACATAAAGAAATCTAGTTCCCTGAATGATGAAGACACACAGAAACACCTTGGACAGTTCTAAAATCTGACAAAGCCTTCCGTGCATACTCCAAGATGCCAGGCCACAAGGCAGAATTTCTGTGTTCAGGTCACTGTTGTTCCCTTTGGGCCACAGAATGTCCAAATGGCATATGTATTTCCTTTCTTCTTCCCAGGCCCTGTTCCCATGTCTAAAAACATTGCTCTCCCCATACCCTATAGCAGGGGTCCTCAAACTTTTCAAACAGGGGAACAGTTCACTGTCCTCCTCAGACCGTTGGAGGGCCGGACTATAGTTAAAAAAAAAAAACTATGAACAAATTCCTATGCACACTGCACATATCTTATTTTGAAGTAAAAAAACAAAACGGGAATAAATACAATATTTGTATTTGCATGTGGCCCGCGGGCTGTAGTTTGAGGACCCCTGCCCTATAGCTTCTGAGGCACTTCCAGATAACTCCACTCTGTCTGTAGAACCTTCCTTAAGACAGCACTGAATTGGTTCACTTTGGATTTTTTGTATCATTCTAAGACAGTGATTTTCAACCTTTCTTAGCTCATGGCACACATAAACTAATTACTAAAAGGCTGCGGCACACCAAAAAATATATCTTTTGCAGATCTGACCAAAAAAAAAGGCATAATTTTGATCCATTCACACCAGACAGCTATTGTGTTGGCTGTTGTCTTTTTTTTTTTTCAATGTAAGGTAAAAGGTCAGTGACTCTGATTAGTCAGGTATTGCAAGTTTGAAAAATGGTTGCGGCACACCGTTTGGGCACACAGTTTGAAAATCGCAGCCTAGGAGTACTAGCAATAACAGCTAAAGGCAGCCACCCAGAATGACCTCCCACAGCCATCTTTTGAAACAAGTCTGACATTTTCTCTTGGTTGTCTCATCTGCCAAGTCTGCATGAAATCTGGTTTGGCCAGCAGTGTCAGACATGGCCATTTTCCTCTTTCTGTATTTCTCCCACTCAGGGTTTGATGAAGGGTTTCATCAGTGCTGCCCAACTTGACATTTGCTTCTTCCACTTGATTAGTAAGCTATCAGGAGCTAATTTATCCAGACTGTCAGCTCTTTAATACTTGGCCACGATGCCAGCAAATTCTATCAGCATTCACATATTAACACCTCTCATCTCAGGAGACTTACATTTGGTGAGGTTGAAACGAAAGGTCACAAGTGGGCTCTGTTAGTGACTGCAGGAGATTAATTAAGCATTATAAATAGATTGTCTGTTGCATTATGGAGTAGGTTCCCTTATGTTAATTTATAAGGTCATAAACTGAGTCCTTAACCTGACCCTCTCAAGGGTTATTTAAAACAGCTGGTGGCCTACTGTACCCAGAGAAGGACAGTGTTTAATTCAGGGCTGAAGTAATTATTTCAGTATGGAAATATCAGCAAAATTATCCTGAGACAAGGCTAATTATTTTGTTTGCTTTAAAAAGAAAAAGAAGAAGAAGAAACAATGAGAAATCCACAGAATGAAAAGGCAATTATCTAATTCAGTGGTTCTCAACCTTCTGGCCCTTTAAATACATTTCCTTATGTTGTGACCCAACCATAAAATTATTTTCGTTGCTACTTCATAACTGTAATGTTGCTACTGTTATGAATCGTAATGTAAATATCTGATATGCAGGATGGTCTTAGGCGACCCCTGTGAAAGGGTCATTCGACCACGAAAGGGGTCTCGGCCCACAGGTTGAGAACCGCTGATCTAACTGGTTAGAGGGAAGGCTTCCCCTGCAGTATTTAAGGTTTGGCAAAAACATCTCACACTGCTCCCCAGAATTTCTGGTCTCAGCAAAAAACCTCAAGCCTATTTTGATAACTGGATGTTTTCCCCCTTCGTGCTTTAGCCAGTGTTTGAAAGAAGATCTGATGCTTCTGTTTCTTACTTGTTGACACTCAACGCATCAACATGCTGGTTTTTTTAAGTTTGCTGATATCTAGAAATGTTTTTAAGAGCATCTCTTTATAAACCTCTTTCAAATCCTGGGGGCCAGGCCCATTGCCATCACTTCTTGGACATGACAGCTGTCAATTTCAGCTTATAACCCATGAAACAATTTTGAGTGACACCCACAGGATTTTTCTGCCTGCAGCTCCTCTGAATGCAGGGAAACAGGGCCAAGAGGACTACTGTCTGTTTTCTGGATGTTTCTTCTTAGAATCAAAGAGCCCTTGCATTCTTTGGTCCCATCTTACCAATTTTCATAGTTTGCAAAGTACAGCTAGAGCTACTTCAGATGCTTTGGACAACTGCCAGAACTTTGTTCCACATTTTCTCCTCACTGCCTTGGGTAACCTGCCTGATGCTCTCATTGGCTGAAGATATGTCTTTTCTCTGCAGGCCCAAAGTAGAAAACACTTTCAAAAGTGATGTTGCTGCTCTTTGCAGGGTGGGTAGAACAGTATCCTACAACAGGTGCAGTATAGCATCTGTTTTCTATCCATAGGATAAATGATTTTCTAGTTTTTAAGAGTGTGCCCATAAGTAGTCCCATTTTGGGGTTTGCCAATTTTGATATGCTTCAATTAAGTGCTCCAGTGAATCTGAGTACCTTGGTTGAATGGTGCCCTTCCCCACCTCTCTTCCCATCTTGTGAACCACCTTAAAACCTTTCACCAATAAGATATGTTGTAAAACACAGCTTTTTTTGCATATTCTTCATTTAGAGAAAAAATTTAACCCCCAAACAATACAGTATAGGGTTATATAAAAGAAAAGGTCAAGATTTACCCTTCCCGCAATGTCACATCCCTAACCACCAAGTTCATTTCTGTTATGAGTTTATGTCTTTCCTTACAATCCTTTCTTGATGCATGTACACATATATGTATATGCATGTGAAAGTACAGCTTTGTTTGTGTGAACTCTAATATGAATATTATCACACTGTTTATCTAATCCTATGACTAGATTTTTTTCAACTCAATAATACCATGTACAGTGTTTAATCTTCACTCTTTTTAATAGTTGCATAGTATCCTTACTCCCTAGATAGAGGTGCCATAATTATTTAATCAATAGAGGCCCGGTGTACAAATTTGTGCATGCATGGGGTCCCTCAGTCTGGCTGGTGATCGAGGCCTATCAGGGGGCCAGCGGCGGGGGGAGGGACCCTGGGAGGTTGGCAGCCCAGTCCCCTAATCGGGGCCTATAAGGGGAGCTGGTCGGCAGAGGAGAGGGACCGTGGAAGGTTGGCTGTTGGGGCCAATGGGGGTGCCGGCCAGCAGGAGGGAAGGGCCTTGGGAGGTTGGCCAGCCAGCTGGGGGGAAGAGGCCACAGGAGGTTCCAATCGGGGTGATCTGGGACCCACTAGCTTCGGGGAGGGACCATGGGAGGTTGGCTGTGGGAGTACATTGAGTGTCTGCCCCCTGGTGTTCAGTGCGCATCTTAGTGACTGGTTGATCAGTCTTAATGGTTGCTTAGGCATTTATATATATAGATTTTTCTTCTCATGAGCATAGATTGTTTTACTTTTTTGGTGTGGTTAATCCTCATCCAAGGATATTTTTTCCATTGATTTTTTTTAAAAAGAGAATGGAAGGCGGAGGGGGGAGGGAGAATGAGAGAGGAGATAGAGAAACATTGATGTGAGAGAGACACATCCATTGGTTGCCTCCAGCACACACCCAAACTGGGGCCAAGGATTGAACCTGCAACCCAGGTATGTGCCCTTGACCCAAAACAAACTCAAGACCCTCTAGTGTGCAAGCCAATGCTCTAACCAGTGAGC